GCCCCATGGGCGAGCTCATTCACGGTGGAGGAAAGAACCACATCCAAATACCAGAACTCCATCAGTGTGGAGAACCTGCGTGTCGGTTCTTCAACAAAAAACATCCACTGACTTGAGGGGTGGTCCAAATGGACGCTGAGATTCAGTATGGCCGAGTGTAGCCTTCCAGGTGAGCTCTCAGAAACCTATATGCCAATGATGGCTGTTAGTGGCAACCTGTAGCTTGTGGGCATCCCAATTTCTGCAAAATGGCAGGTGCTAATACCTAGCACGTGTTTTTCCATTGGTTTTCCAATTTTTTCTATGCGTCTGTGATTGAATGGACTTGGACTTCTGATGTTCTCACATGTTCTAACCTATGATGTTCATTGATGTTCGACATTGTTCGACAATAATTGATTGCTTCAAACTATTGAGCCCCTCTAGCGATTCCCTCCAACCTAATTAGCGATGGCCTCCAACTTAATAGCGACAAACTATTGATTGCTTCAAACTATTGAGCCCTCTCTTGCGACAGCCCTCTCTTGCGACAGCCCTCTCTTGCGACAAAGAGCATGAGCTGCCGGCGCAAACGAGGCCCCCAGTGGCAGCATGGGCAGCGGAGGCAGCCTTCTGCGAACATGAGGAGTGCACAAATGATGGAGATCCACCTGTCAGGCTGACAACCAACGCGACAAAGCTTGGTCCAGATTGCAACGCGGTGATGAGACATCTGCACTGGCTACGAAAGGAACAAGGTGACTGAGACGAAATATGCAATGTCCCCCCTTGTCATCTCACTCTACTTGCGCCATGAAAACACAGGAAAGTGATGGAAAATCGGCCTGGGGAACGGAAGCTCCACTGCTCGGAGCCCTCCAGTGAGGAGGGGCAGCATGCCCAAGCCCACGCACAGCTGCGGCCGCGAGGCGACAAAGGAGTCGAATTGGAGCTCATCAAAGTGGCATGTGGACACCACTGCCGCCTGTTCGTGCGTCGCGGTTCGTTCGGCCAGATTGCGCGCAGGGTGCGTCGCGTTCGGGTGCGAATGCGTCCGAAGGGTGCGAATTCATGCGAATTCGGCATATAGGGCCTGTGTATTCACAGATGGTGTGTGTGTGTTTGTGCATGTGTGTGTGTGTGTGTCAACCCCTTGTCCAAAGGGTCCCACACCACTGGCTTAGTGGCTTCATCCCAAGTCTCGTTGACAGTTGACTGGAGGTTTGTTTGGAATCACAACGCGCGTAAAACGCGCTGACGTTTGGCACGACTCCAGGATCAAACTTCCACGACGAATTGAGTGATTGGCATCTGCCCTCCTGTTCATATGTCGTGGGGAAACCATTCAATCTCCCAAAAAGGTTCAAGGATATCCACTGACCTGGCTAGGTAGACTAACCCCCAGCACTTCCAGCTGTTGGCCTTTTTGGGGATAAGACTTTAAGAAGTGTCCTGCGATCCTCTGCGAGTGCGTCACTCGGGCTCACTTCTTTCCCCCCCATTCTCGCCCAGAAGCAGTTAGGGCGGTGAGGAACCACGCCAGAGCGGCGAGCCCGGAAATGATCTGCTCCACTAAACGTCCCGCGGGCAAGACGCGCCACAGCACCTCGTAGCGTCGTGGACGTTTTCAGCAGTCGAACTGGGCGTCGTTCTGTCGTTCTGTCTTGCGGAAGCACGGTGGAACCGACGTGCACCATCGGGTCGGGGCCCGCAGTCCACAAAGAAGCCTTTACCTGTACATTCGGGGTGTGTTTCGCCGCTTGTGGCGGCGGTCAGCTGGGGAATCCCACGAAATCCCAAGCCTATCCCTTCGATGATGTTTGCGGCACTCGATTTTCCACCCGATCACCTGTCAAACGAATCTGAACCTGTCACTGGGAAGGGGCCACCCTTCCGTACCACGCTGCCTTTTAATGGTAGCAACTCAACACTGGGACCTTCCCCCCCAACTGCTTAATTCCAATGTCAAGACAAGACACTGACTAACATTCGAAATTCGCACTTGGTCAGACCCATAAACCCATCATTTCAGTTTCAATTGAGAAAACAATGATGTGAAAACCACCCGGCTGCGCAAGCTTGAGGATCTTGAGGACTTACAATGATCGAGATATCATCAAATCGCTGAATGCTGAGTCCCGACAGAAACAATCCCGTAAAACCCCAATGTTTGAACGACCATCGCCGGTACCGTCGACTCACCCCCCCGACGTCCTGAGGACGAATCCGATGGGGACGCCTCGGTGGTCATCGTCAGAACAACGCCGGCAATTAGAAACGCCAAGCCCAATTGCAGCACCTGAGACGGGAAATGCTGGCGGGAAATGCTGGGGGATGGGTCGCTTCTGCAAACTGGCCTTCTGCAAACAGCGTTTTCCTCTCCAAGGGGGGGCCTTGGTGGGAGGTCTCGTCGATGGTTCGAAATCTACTCCTGATGCACAGGAAGATGATGGAAGATTCGAAGGTTCTTCATTTACTGTGGTGAGAAGAGACTCGAAACGAAACGGTTCTTGAGCTGCAACGAAACAGATCCCAATGTCAGCGAGAAGGACGTGCCAAGTCGAGAACGTGTACGCAGCTGCAAGGTGAAAAGCATTGGACAATGAAAAGCACAAAGAATGCGAAGAGATTAAGGTTTAAGTTCCGGAAAGAGCCCTGCTGGGACAGTACGCGACTCAGGCACAGCACAGAACGATGGCCTCTGACTCTCTGACCACACATTGGCTGCCAAAGAGTTGAAATGGTGATCATGTGATGCTCATCGCTGCCAGCTGAGCATCCAAACAACCCTTCACCCGGATGGGCAAGGCGTGAAAACGGGCCGATTGGGCCTGTGAAAAATGGGCAAAGCATCTTGCAGTGGCACCTGTACACTCATATATGATCTGATCATGCATATACAAACAATGGGGGATAGCCGTGGCCAGTGGGTGGTGCGCGTGGTGTGCGTGGTGTGCGTGGCCGTGACAGTCACCCATCTGGTGTCGTGAAGGTATTTTGCTGAGAGAGGTTCGCCACAAAACCCAGGCTGGGCGGAACTCTTGCTCGTTTGCTGCCTCTGGTGAAGGGGGTGGTCTGGCTAAGCGCAACCTGTGCAAACCTTCTTGGTGGATCCTGGTGCATCCTGAAATGAGCGTTACAGATGGTAGATGTCCTTCAAGCCACTCTCGAGTGTGGAGACAAGCGGTAGGTGAAGCTCTCATGAAAAACAATGAAAAACACGCCGGCCCGTGTTTAGCATGTGGCGGTGGCCGGTGTCCGGCCAGACCCTAGTCCCGGCCGTCATCCGGCCGGGTGCCCGGGAGTCTATAGCCTACAGCTGCACCTGCAGGCTTCGCGCGCCGCACGAAGCCCACACCGCCGCGCTCCCGCCGCAAACCAACACCGCTCGGCGGCGGGGGACCCCGCCGTTTTGACCGGCGCTTGCCCAGGGCACGGAATAAAAGACGCGCAGCCGTTCGATGTTGCGCTGCAGGGCGAACTCCTCCACCTTCTCGCGTTCCGACTTAGAGGATCCGGACCTGCAAGGGATCCGGAACCAAGCGAGGTTTCGGAGAAGAGAAAGCCAACAATAGAATGAGTAACCAGGAAGTAACGGTCAACACCAGTTTGGGTGGGGTTGTGTGTTGTTATGTTGATTTTTCCGGCTAATGGCTGCTTTGGGATGGGGCAGTGGTCTAAGGAAGGGATTTTGTCTATATTCTTGTTGCTGGTTCGGTGGGGCCTAACTTCATCCGCAACAGGCAGGAACTGATGCTTCCCCAGTTCCATGACCAGGCCACGTGGATCCCGCTTTCAGCTGCGAACTCGTGCCGTTTTGAGGTCCCCATGTTTGGAATGGGCACCCAGGCGGCCAGGCCAGTTGAAGGGGAACTACTCTACAAAAGCAGGGAGCCCATGCCCAATCCCTTAGTTCTTTCATACACGTCTTTGGGTCATCCCGGTGCTGCCGTCGGTGCCCCCGCTCCACTCCGTCCACTCGGCCCAAGCGACTCGGAGGCCGCCGCCACGGCGACCGACGCGGTCGACCGCGCGCTGGGCCGATCGGAGCTCATCGAGCCCATGGCGCTCCCCAGCTCCCGCGCGTCGTCGTCCTCCATGGTCTTCCGGCCGTTCGAAGGCGCAGGGGCTGTTCAAAGGGAAGTGTACATGCCAGCTTCGGCATAGGAACGTGCTAGACTAGACTCATACATCTGATACATCTGAAACAGCTTAGAACCCAATCCCTGCTGCACTGAAGGGCCCATCAACATGAACTTCTAGCTGACCGCGGTGCCGATGTTTGGCCGTTCATCGGTTCCGTTCATCGGTTCCGTGTCCGGATCGGTTTGAGCCATGCGAGCTGCATCCCCTCTCTGGACATCCGACCGATCCGACCGTATGTAGATCATTGATCCTCGAGTTTGAGGTTGCACCACAAGAATTGAACCTAATAGTCTATAGTCTATATTAGCTATCATATATATGTAGAAAACTCCAAAAACATGGAGCCTTCATGAGCTTTCACCGACCATGAACTCAGACCGGTGAAGGACTGTCAACCGGTAGGCCGTTCAGGGCCGGCATCCAAAAGCGGTCGATCTATAATTATACCATCTACCTGGACCCTCCCTTGAAGGTGTTTTCCTGGTGGCAATTTCGGTGCCCAAGTTCACCACCTGTGGTCGGGTCCCAAAACCACCGGGCGAAATGGAAGGTCCGTAGGACACGTGCGTGATGCGAAACCACCACGCTACAACCATCTCTGGCCCCCCCGTAGTCTCACGCGCCAGTCGCCACATGTGAACGAACGTTCGTCCCACATCTATCAAGGTCTTGCCAGGTGGTGGCTAAGTAGCCTTGGTGGGATACATCACAAAATTGTTATATATATATATATATACCCTTCATGCAGCAAAAGGAACTGATCTTCTCAAACATTCCTGCTGAAATGATTTGTTCAGTGGATGCATCCTCCCAACCTTGGACACAACCTTGGAACCATCCTCACCGAGCTGTTCGACCGAGCTTCTGGCCCGGGCCTTCTCGCATGCCCCGGTGACGCCGGCCAGGACCACGGCGTCGGGCCTGGGGACCAGACCGGCGAGAGGCATCTGTCACGAACGAGGAAGAAATCAAAAGTAAAACATTTATACCAGGACCCTCCGACAGGTTACCAATTGAGAACTGTTAGGGTCCAACAACCCTCAACTAACAGCCTGTTGGAGGGTACTGGTATAGATTTCATATATTAGAATATGGTTTGTTCAAGAACATCTGTTTGAGAAACGACGTGATGGATGTGGTGTGATCGACCATCAAAAAGCTAAATTAAATAATCGCTATATATAAATCTACATAAATACTTCCAGTTCCTCCTCCTCCTCCTCCTCCTGACAATAACCAGGGCTCCTTCCAAAGCCACTGGCTCTTCAAAAGTGATTGTCTTCATGTTCTGTGAAGAAAAATGCATCCACCACATACCAGCCTTTGCCCACAAAGCAGGCTCGCCCGGCGCCACTGCTGCGCTAGCGCGCTGGCTGCGACCGAAACGCTGCGACCCACCATGTCTAGGGTCAGATATCGATGCCCCATCACTGCCTCGCATCTCAGTGCATTGGACAAAGACCTATAGACCTAACTCGCTCAAACTGGCATCAAGAATGATTGAGGGAAAATGGGGATATTCCTCTGTTATATACATCAACAAATCCATGGAGTATATTTTATATTGTACAGATGTAGATGTGCTATATGAATACAATTTAATACATATATATATATATATACTCCCGTCGTCTAGCCACCTTCCTCTGCAACACTATGCTATACTTGAGCTATATATACTCCAACTAAACATGGAAGTGGAACAAGGAGGCCAGTCTTCAGCGAAACCAAAAAGGAGAACCGAGCCTCAATGCAAGCTAAAGAAAATTTGGCAGGCCTCTCAGCATGATCTCGTGTCCTTTGTCTTTCTGTGGCTCTCTCTCTCTCTCTCTCTCTCCCTCCCTCCCTCTCTTGTTCTATCCGCCTCTCTCCACACAAAGTATATATCAAGCCGTTGTTTCATCCATGATTTGAGGGTATATAGATGTGCTTTCTCCTTATCTATTCTGAACATCCTGCGTGGTTGTCGCGCTTGGAATGTGGTGACTCCAAAGACATCTTGATGCGGGTGCGTCTCAAGCGTGGCGAGCCACAAACATTGCGATGTTGTAAAGTAAAAACTATTAGGGCCATGACACCTGGGCAATGCATGAATGTGCCCACTCACATGTATGTTCGCACCAATTGAATTCCAAGGGGGGCCGTGACTAAACCAATACCTGACAGTTGTGCCATCTGAATCTGGTGTAGTTTGTGAGATTTTGTCAGCCCATGTCAACCATCTAACCTTCCAGTCGGTGGCTACCTACCGAGTCCCTCAAAACCACCTGGCTGCACCCAAAGAGGGAAATGACTTGAGGCAGAAAGCCCCCCCATAAACTCTGCGGGTTGTCCGCGCGGAAACTGCAAAACAGTGCAAAACCATGGCCCAACATGGCTTTCGGGGGTTGTTTGCTCCGGCAACTGCCAGGTGGCTACAAGATTCATCTGCTCCATCCATTGCCCCTCTCGGACGCAAAGGCTGGCAGCTTTGTTGGCCGCCGCTTGGTCCACTTCCAGACCTGGCTCTTGCGTCGCCAGAACGGAGTTGCACGTCGGGTTGATGACTGGTCAATCCATATGAGTGAGGACCCCACTTAATGTCTGCGAACTGTTCAAACAAACACCTGGTCGGATGGGCACCCTCACATACACTGCATCCCTTTCAGAAATCCCAGGTGCAGGTGGCTGAAGCGAGAACATCCAGATCCGATGTCTTCGGCGAGCGCGAACCAGGCCCGGGCCCGCATGAGTGCCTGATTGGCACCCCCCCAATCAAAATCAAAATAAAGCTGTCGCACTCAAACATGATCTGCAAAGGGACCCATGGATAGACGGTTCACCAAGCTAATGGTGAAAACCAATGACTCCCCAGCCACGACCGAGACCTCCCCTGTTTCGGTGAATCACCCCCATGCCTCGGCCTCGGCCAGCCAGGTACAGCAAGCGACAGCTCTGGTCCCAGCTGCCCGCCTCAGCCAGGGTCTTTTTTTGCCTGAGCTAGAGCTCAAGGTGCGTGGTTGCTGTGCTTGCGCTCTTGTGCGCTCGCGTTTCACAGGAAGGTCCTTCTATTGAAATGGGGTCCCAACAAAGTGCTCAACTCAGGATTTCCATGGCCCGGCCCTTCCCGGACTGCTTCGAACTGATTCTCTCTTCGAAATCGGACCAGAAACACCACGGGACCCATCCGTTCGTTGAAGCATCCCTGCGCGCTCCGCAGCTTCACGACCGAACCGAGGAACCACCAAATCAAGGCCCAGTAAGGCTTGCCAGGTACTTGCACCTCGGCCGAGTTGGTTGGGAACAAACAAAACTTCCAGTTGGAGTCTGAAGCAAAATGCGCCCTACCATGGTTTGGCAAGGGGGGCTTTTCTGGCAAGGAAGGCGTTGACCCATGGAGATGTCTGTAGGCCGTGTCGGGCATTTGGCCCTGTTGCCGATGTTTTTACTTCTATACCAGCTGGCAGGTTCAATTGCAGTATAGGGGAATCGTGGCATAAGAAGGAATCAGCAAATGTGCTCCACCTTGCCTCCCTCCCTCGAAGACAAAGCTTGGAGAAGACTTGGGAGCACAAGGGAGTGCATCAGGGTGGGCTTACAATTGGAGCTCCACCGTTTTCCACGATAACACTCCAGGCCCTGAAATAATGATGGAAGTAGAAAACCACTTGTTTGATCTTGTATGATCTTGTTACATAGATGAACATGGTCATTTTTTCTGGGGTCATGCATGGCCATGCCATCCACGGGCCCCATGATGATTTCCAGGTGTGCGCTTTAGCCGCTAGACCCTCCCAAACCCAAAGAAATCAAAGCAATTCACTCACCTGAACCATGGTACTTGGTCACTCCCACCTGTTCCTCTGGTCGCTTTGACCCACCCGTGCGGCCCAGGGGCTCTGGCAAACCGTGCTGGCACACTTGTAGACATGGCCTTCGTGCGGGTGCCCGACCGGCCCGGGGGGGGTCCATCCAGCGCCCGACCCACTCTGAGGTTGTCTTGGTTTAAGAAGACACGCCGTACCCTACTTGAGGGTGGGGAATCCCAAGTGTAGAGAAACAGCGGCAAGTGCGACCCTGTGTAGAGTTCAGTAGATAGGTGACCAGGTTCAGTGTTCATTTTTTGCTGCCTCGCCAATTAGGTGCGAATCCCCTTTCGAACCATGTCTTGGAATTTATATGATGTGAATTCATCTCTAAAATCTACCCTTTCAGGAAAGCCTACACCCTAAATGCCCCAGAACTGGAGTGCCTCCTCCTCAAGACTCTTTTCCTTGCGGCCAAGAACGGCACACCATCCATATCAACCACCGCTCGCCTTGACCGATTCGCGAGCCCCGTCCCGGAGCCAAGCTTCGACTCAGTTGCAGCAAGCCTGCGGAGACTCCGTGCAGCAAGCCGACCGCCTGGCGCCATCCTCGGGACATACATGGGGACTGCCTTCCTTCTCCAGGCTCGAGGTTCGAGTGGTTTTGGAGTGAGACATGCACTCCGACTCACTCACATGGAAGTTTGTAGAGGATGAGGAAAATGGTCTTTCAGGGGGCCCGTTGTCCACTTCGATGTTAGCAAGTCGGAGGGCAATTGATCAGCCGGTGATCTACATCCATTCCTTTCACTTCAGGTCCGGTCCAGCAAATGCATTACATCAATGACCTCTCAAGCAGCACCAGCGGCTGTCGTCCCGGCGGAGGCTCTGCAAGACAGCGAGACAGCTCACAGAATCTGGGAGAATGCCACTCGTAGCGGCCTTGGGGCAGCCCAACGCAACAAACTTGCGCCTGCAATCCGATGTCGTTTCTGCTTTTCCCATCTTTTCCCTACTTCCTCGTATTTGCTCAGGGAGCTGCCACTACTAATGCCTCTGGCGTTACACCATCTATATATTATACTACCCGGAAGTGAGTTAGGACTTTACGACAGCTCCAAAATAACAGGACGGACAAATGAGATAGGTCACAAAATAGGGTACAAAAAGAATGCGCAGATGAGATCCTCCTACCAAAAAAACATGCAACCCATCTCATGTGCTATACCGTGGGCGTACCGTAGCCGTCAGTGATAGCGATCAGCCGATGAGATAGGACTATGTGCTGAATGTCAATCAAAACGAAATAAAATATAGTCCCTAGCCATGAACGAGCAACCCCCGGCATATGCTGGCATCAGCAAAGCTCTTTCAGCCCATGAGTTAGGTCCTTGTGGCCAATTCTATCATCTCCTGTGGTCTCCGCCAAAAATAGGCTTTCGGCAAATGAGGTAGTCCAACGGATTTTGGGGTGTGTGTTCGAATACTCCCAACTCACCTGGGACTATAGTATATATGCCACATCTGCGTGGCGTCTTCCTTCACTCTGAGTTTGGCCGATGCACCTGGCTCGGGCATTGTGACCCATTTGGGCACACCTCCCTTTTTAGTTGAACACACCCTTCAGGGGGGGTAATATATATATATATATCATCTATATTATATCCATCATTAGGCTGTGCAAGGCTGTGCATCTCTACCCGCTCAGTCTCCCATTAATTCCCTGGCCTTGCTAAGCCGGTGGATGGCGTTGGACCAGCCTGCTAGCTCGCTATCTGCGGCCAAGCAAGAGTTCACCGTCACCAGATTCGGCTGCAACCTTCACCCGATTCGTCTTCGCGATAGGCCCCGCTCAAAGAGATTGGGAGAATCGGTTACTCATCGTTCGTATGATCGGCTTTTTTTTCAGTTCGGTTTGTTCGGTTACTCAACGTTAAACAAACACTCCTCGTGGAGTTAGAGGCCACGTGGCCTCCCGTATACCCTACATAGAACGTTCTTTGTAGTGATGTTTTAGCACCCGTGTTTACACTTTTTGACGGAAAGCATGGCCTGCTCCGCTCAACCAAAGCCGATCTCAGGAGCAATTCCCCCTTGCACCTGCCCGCCAAAAAAAGATGCTTCAAGGGAATCATGGTCATGTCTACACTGTCTACATGCCCTGGAACTAACATGGAAGTGGAGTTCACCCCCTGTTTGCTCTTCCTTCTGTCCTCTTGCAACCAACACCATCCACCTTGCCAGGTCCACCATCGAATGTTTCCAGGAGTTCCCTGGGTGGAACGCGCTGGGACGGGGCTCCCCTGGGTCCTCCAGCCTCTGAGGCCGCAGGGATGCCAAGCGCTCCAAGCTCCTGGGCGCTCCCCGGGCAGCGCTCGGCTGGCGACGGACCGTGGGGACCATCGGGACCGTTGTTGTAGGGGGTCTTGCCTTGCCCCCCCCGAAACAATGGTAAAACATGGAAAAAACAAACAACAAGGTGTGATACATCAAAGGATGGACCTGGAAATGCAGCAGAAAGCCTCCGAAAAGGTGACCTTCCCTAAAGAAGAATGTCAACCCAGTATCGCAAGTCCTGGACTCGATGTTGATTTGCTGGCAGCGGGGAGTCGCCGTCCTAACAGTCCGGAGGAGCCTAGCATGTCATCATATATCTTAAGGCTCCTCTAGCCCCTGCTGCACACATCCCAAAGCTAGACTTGCGATCCCCGGTTGGATCGTGGGGGTGGACCGAAGACGCGGATCGCCACAGCTCCGCGGGGGTTGAAGGATCGGTCCAAATCCAGTCCAATCTGACGAAACTTGGTTTGTGCATCCCCCTTCGAATTTCAGCTGTATGTGGGGGTGGTTGATTTTTTAAGGAAAGTGTCCACAGAATCAACCGCCCCAGGTTCGCCAATCTGAAAAGCTTTACAAAATCAAACCCCCCAGGACGCAGGCAAGGGCCAATTTCAAGCCGATATTCCAAAATCAACTACCCCAGTCTCAAGAAACAGTCTCAGAAACAGTTGATTTTTTAAAGGAAATTCGTACGAGTACGGGTATGTTTGTGCGATCTTCTCTACTTGCTGTCTGAATCGTGAGGTTCCCAGTCGTGGTGGAGGTGAAGGTCGCTGTGACATTGGGATTGGCGTGTGAGCGGGTGTCTATGTCAAGACTCTTGAGCTCATATTCTAGCCTCCTAAGGTCCAAGTCCATTGGGTGGAACATCCGGGCAGCAGCTCCCCCACAGCTGAGGCCTCTACCGCTCCCACTGGCCATCCGAAGCAGTGGAGCTGATCAATGAATTGGATCCTCAGTGTATTCAAACCAGGGATTGCTGAAGGCACCAGCTGGAGGCTCCTCATCCCAAGCAGCACCAGTTCAACATGATGAGGCTCCACTGGGGGGGACATGTGGGGACACTTCCAGCTCTGCTGGAGGATTGCCACTGCACGTTCTCGCAAGTCCCTTTTTGGCCCAGGTCTCCGATAAGCTCTGGCTGAAGCGCGGCGTGTCGAGCGCTGCCGAGCAGCAGCTCGCCCTGCTGCCAGCGGCTCAAAGACACCAAGCTGTTGAAGGTCACCTGGTGGTACCAGCCAGGGACGAGAGGCTACCCAAGAAAATTGATCGGTGCCACATCTTATAAGGGAAAGAAGATGGCTGGTTGCAAAGGAACACAAGGAGTTTCTGTTGGGAGATGAGACGCGTTCTCCAGAACAACAACCGCGAGAACAAGAACGTCCAACAAGCCAATTACGCTCCCCCCCCGCGCCTCCCCGCCACCCGTGGGCCTCCGTGCACTGCACGCCCTGCCCCCGCGCCCAGCGGAAGCACCGCAGCGCCGGCCGCCAGCCGTCGCCGCCGGTCTCGTCGCGGCAGCGGCTCAAAGCCTTGGAAGAACTTCTCCGTACAGCGTGAAGAACACAGGGGATTCGGAGTGAAAACCACACGATAGTCACTAAACTAGTCACCCCACTAGTCACGAATGTTTTTAGCACTTGTACCGTATAGTATAGGTGGCTAGTACTGTACCAAAGCTAGTGTACTGTACTACTGTCCGAAGCTAGTATACAACACTTGTACAGTACTTGGTGGAGTTGGGTGGTCAGGGCGTGCTGAGCGGCAGCGTTGACCGTGAAGGCGGTCACTTCCACTGCCATCGTGCCCATCTCGGACAGGTAGCTGTGGGCGCGTGCCTACTGCACCGGGAGGAGGCCCATTTTGGCCGGCACCTCTCTGTCTCTCTCATTCTCTTTCCGGCCACTATGGAAGTGGAAACATGCCACCTTTGTCGAGGAAATCTTTAGAGGACACCAAAGGGGTTGCCTTCCAATCAGCGTAGAAAGGAAGAACCTTGCCCAGGCGACATGAACAAAACGCCTGTCTTTCGAACATTGGCTCATCTTCCCATTCATCGCCGTGTTTGGACACCTTAACTGCTTCACCCATTCTATCCCCCTATGCTTCCCAGCACCCGCTTTTGATCTAAACATCCCTGCAAGTAAGATACCTAAGACCTATCTGAACTTACAGTACTAGTTTGGGGTTGTCTCAAGTTGAGGGGCCCCACAACGAATGACAACCAACCTCCCTGGATGTATCTTATATTTCCAGTTGCCGATCAGCACTGCACATAAAGAAACAGCCATCCATGCACGACCTCAAAACGAACATGTCAACCCGCAAAAATGAAGAAAACATGGTATATAATATTTATACACAAAACGCACATCTGCCTATCACTGAATCGCCCATCTCACTCATTCCCAACCTCTCCCCTGCCCCCTGCGCACCCAGCTCTCGCACGCGCCCATAGCTGCCCCAAAGGCGCGTTCGTCCAGCGCGCGCGACGAACGCGTGCGGCGCAGGCGCCGGCGCAGCTGCGCGAAGCGCTGGAGCGCTTGTAAGCGCTGCCTGGTGGCCACGGGGGAGATCCACAAGTTGCCCATTGAAGAGAATCAATATGAATCAATGGAAGAGAGGCAAATGATAGGACAGTGGAGGCCCTGAAGGACAAAGTAAGGAAAAAGAAAGAAACATACAGTAAAGAAACGGATTGTATAGAAAGCGGATGGGCAGCTGGTCCAGCATGAGAATCGGATCGAATGAGTAGCATGAAAGTGGCATAGGTTGCCTCATGTTACTGTAGTATGTAAATTTGGATGATTGATGGATGATTGGGGCTGATAGGCATAGCCTAGATCACAACATATCAATAATAGTTAGTATTTGAACAATTATATAGTTACAATAGATTATTAGATCTATTACAGTAATATTATTTATTATGCATTTATAATGTTTGGAACCCTCAGAATCTGCTGCCAGAGTAGCTGGCTGTTCGACAAAGCATTGATGGCTGCAGTGTAGATGACCACCTTTGGCGCCTCAAATCGGGTGAGAAGCCCTGGCTTCGGCGCAACATCTAGGGTTCATGGATGCTCACTTGGGGATTCGAAGGGTGCGTGGGCAAAATCTCTGCGTGGGCTGGATGTGTTTCATTGGTGGCCCAGGTCTTTACAATGAGGTGGGTTTCATTGTTTGTCCCTGTGCACTTGGTTCCCTTTCATCACAACCACGTATATCTACATCCACGTGGTACATGTGGGTGCACTACCTATGTGCCCCAAAACCAAGAACACCAACCGCCAAGCTATGAACACAAACGCACAACCGCATGATGTGCCGGTGTCACTTCGCACGCCTTTTCTGAAACGCTCCTTTACATCTCGAGCTGGGTGGGGTGCTCCTCTGGAGCCTCCCACGGGCACCCCATTTTTCCTGGGAGCCAACCCTCCAAATGTCCAACTCCGCCATGGAGTGCCCGGGCGCAGACCGCGCATGCGAGAACGGGTTCGTCTGCGGCAACCCCGCCGTGGTTACCCCATGGGCGGGAACCCAAACGGCCCGAATTCAGGTTTGGACGAAGTCGGTGGCGACTGGGGAGTGGCGACTCGAAGCTTCCGGGAGTCTCAAACCAACAAGCTGCGGACCAAAAGTAGGGTGCCATCCGGAGCTCCACTGTGGAAGGACAAATGGAGTAAAACCTGCCAGACCAGTCTTGGCTCCTCTAGGTTTGAAGGGCCCATTTGTAGCAGTGCTCTGGTGTCGCCTTCGTGGAAACATATACAAGCCATTTTCTGAAATGTTCTTAGCGAGCACCCCTTAGTTCACATCAGCATCTGCAAAAAAAAAACCAGGACAAGAAGGGGCCCATCTGTCTCTGGGAGTTAATCTGTTAGTGATTAAGGGACCAATATGAACAAAGAGATTCCATTAAAGGATATTGAAAGAGAAGGACTTGGACTTCGAATAGGACACTGACACTGCCCGGCGAGCCGGGCCGATCCCCAGCCGGCCCACCTCGCCCATGAGGCCCATGCTGAACTTGCACGAAGAGCGGGCGATAGGGCTCCAAAATCCAAGTGGCCCCCCTTTTCTGCCCAAGAATGACCAAACGAACCGTTGGCCGTAGGTGTTCACCAAACGATCAAACGTTGGGGGCCACTCTGGACATCGCGGCTTCACCGCAGATGCAAAGAGGGGACAAACAGGGCAAATGGGCGATCTGAGCCGCACCAGGAACATCAGGAACAAAAGTCTAGGATGTGCTGGGGGTTATGTAGGTGGGTCGGGTCTTGATTCCACTTGTAAGGTCATTCGAGACCCTCCATGTAATGGAACCTGCTGGGCTGGTAGATAAATGCGGATACGGTTACGAGCGTGATCATGCTTCAAGAGTCCCTCACTTTTCAAGTGTCCTCATCTTCCCTGACTCTTTCGCAGCAGCACCACGACAATCTACATGTACTCAAGAATTATCTTCCACACCCTCTATAGTGTGGGCTGTGGTTCCATCGATGTCCTTCCCATTCCTTAGTCCCTTGGATTCTGTAGTGCTCAGCGACTGCCATGACATCGCCCATCACACTGTACAGCCGCAGCGTTGTCCTGTATCGCCGTCGACGGTGTCTTCAGATGGGCCTTTTCGGCCGACCCCCTGCCCGTGCAGGTGTCGGCGGAACCGCCGACCCGTTGGGCCGGAGATGATGCTTGATACTATTTGATATTAGTAGCGATGGCCTCCAACCTACTTGCGATGGCCTCCACCTAATAGCGTCCTTGCTCCTAGTAGTAATTAGCCTCCACCCTGGTAGCTTCTTGTTACTGGGGCCTCCTTTTGGCGAAGCCCAAGTCCCAAAGCCAAACATAGAAACTGAGCCCTTACTGTCCTGGCAAACGAAATGGCATCACCTTCTCTGACGGTTCCATGTGGGTCTTATGGGAAACAACTACAGCTGTCCTCATCCCCCACTTGACGAATGACAGCTATCCCCTGCAGCTCGAATGAAGCTCGAAAAAGGTACTAAACACTGGTGATCAATGGGGTTGCAGTTGCATCTTCAAACCCCATGTCCGCTTGGTTACTTTCAGACTCCGGTATTTTCCAAAGTATCGGAAAAAAACATCAAAAACCTTCAAGCCTTCAAGAGAAGCCTTGGTGTGAACCATTGACCTTCTTCAGCATCTCATCTCCTTCCATCACCCTCAGGGTCTCATGAAAACTGTGTCACTACACCTCACGGCGGTCGTTTGACCATGCCGGAGGCTTAAAACAGCGGGAATCGCAGACCACCGGGCGGAGTCGGCTTTGCTGGGCGGAGTCGGCCCCGTGATGCCGAACTCTGAAGGTCTGTTACTTCGCTAAGTCGCTCAGCCAGTTCTGCACCATCTCACCATCTCATGCATTTGCCCATCTCATGACCATCCCAACTCACATTTGACCATCCCACCATCTCATGGGGCGGCCTTCGGACACGCGAAGGCCGCCACTGCTGCCCTTGCATCGCCGACCACCCCATGGATCTGGACCTGCTTTGTTTCAGGCCGAAGATCAGGGATTGTGATGCCGAAATCCATTCGTTCTGACTGGTGCGACGAAAGTAGGGAATAAGGGAAGTTTCGCCCCCAATAGAGATTCGATTGGATCCAGCCACCCTCATTCCCTGCGAGACGCACCAGTCAGCGTTTTTGGCCGCTTGGATCCCCAGCGCCGGACATCGCAACCCGTGGAAGAACGCGGATGGCCCAAGTCATGAACGAAGGATGTCCCACCCAAGAGTTTCACGCTGGGGGAGGGTGGTGTTCCGTGTCCGCCCGGCTGCCCGGGGTGTGGCCGGGGGGGTCTGTTTTGAGACAAACCATCTGGCAACAGCAAGCCTGGGGATCATTTTTGACGTGTGCCGTAGACAGCAATTGGCTCCATCCAACACCAGCTCGTATCAGATATCCATGTCCGTCCTGAAAGGCAAAAGAACACCACATGCAAGCGACACTGGTAAAGGCCCACACATACACATCAGTCAGCATCGAATAGCTTGTTTGATCTTTTTGTTGCATGGTTTTCTCCCAACTCCTACTGCCTGGACCACCGCGGAGTCGCCTTTGAACAGGCTTGACTCATCCAAAATGGCCTGACTCGCTGTCCGAGTCCTTCAAACTCACAGCGTCCAAAAGTGGGGCTGAAGCCGAACCGCGGAGGCTCCCCTCAGAGCCTTTCGCGTGTGGAAGGCCACCATCATCCACCATCTAGTTCCACTATCTTTAACTCCATCGGGGGGGATCTCCGCTTGGCACGCCATCGTTTAAAAGTTGCACTGATGTTAGACATGCCGAATCAGTCTGGGGAAAATCCATGAAACTCCCATGTCCAGCCAAACAAGATGTATAAGTCAGTGGGCCTACAAAGGAGGATGCAACAAAGGCCCTCCGATTCCACATTCCTGAGTTGAACTGGACAATGCTCCAAACTAGTTCGAGATTGAACAGATTATATAGATCTCAGGTGGAATGGAATCATTGAGGCTGTCTCTCTATTGAATGATCAATGGGGCTGTTCGACAAAGGATCTTCATCTTGAAAATCGCCCGAAGAAAACTTATGATTTTCCCCAGGTTTCTCTCGCCAACTAGCAGTGCCACATCGTCATGGCTGCCGCCAAAAGCAGGACCCAGTCCTGAGTGGCAGCTGGGATGGGCTTTGCAAAGAAATAATTGCTCTTTCCGTGGATATGTCTTATTCGTCGATGAAAAGCCAATAGACAATCGAGGTCGTCAAAACAACCTTTAGATGGAGTCTTAGATACCAATTGTTGAAAACTTGTTTGAGGTATATGGTCGGTCAGGACCTTGGTGAAAAATCGAGTCGTCAAAGCTACAAATTGACAGTTGCTGGAATGGGGTCCACCAAAGTCAGGGTGGCAACAAGCCCAACAACGGATAAATTGCATGTGGGTTATTGGGACTTGGGACTGTTGCCTCAAAGAAGGATCCAAGCTAAACCAGGCTCCCTTTCTTCAACTTTTGGAGGAATATAGAAACCGTCAAAAAATCATAATATAGTAATCGTCAAAAAAAACATAAAAAATCAGTGAGTGGCTTGGCAGTGGCTTCTTTGACCACATGTTTCAATCATATCAACGGGAAGGGGGCCCTCACAAATGCGGATGGCAGATAGTGCACAAAAACTTATGTAGTTCACTGTTCAATTTAATGCTTAATTCATTCATTGTGGCGGACCCTGTCAAACCCACTGGTTCTTGATGTGGTTCAGGCATGTTCAGGCATCTCTACACCCAATTGATGGAACCGCCAGAGTAGGCAGGGTCATCCTCTCAATCATTTTTTCGTTCTTTCAACAAGGTCAGCTAGCAAGTGAGAGAACCGGTGCAAAACAAAAAAACACAGGACTCCCGTGCTGAAACATGGTTTGTCAGCTGAAAAAACGGAGATCCAAAATTATTGGAGAGCTGAAACAGTGTTTTCCTTTTATTGTGATCATCATGTTGCCACAAAACAGCCTCAGAATTCGCTAAGACGGACCCAAACTTCCCAACATGTTCCCCAGAAAGGCGAACGACCAAAGGAACAATGCTTCGATTCTGGAGATACTCAGTCACATGTTCCAACATCTCCCTCCTCTCCTCTTTTTGCCGTGTCGAATTTCGCCCAGCATCGAAGTGTGCATGGTGAGCTGCGTCGAAGAGCACTGCATCCTGGTAGCCAGAGCTATTGGAGTCCAGCGTCGTGCTGGAGAAGCCTGGCGGAACCATCCAATGGAGAAGCCGAAAGCGACGGCGACATAAAGCGACGAGTATCCGGTTGGAGGATTTGGACGTTGCTTTTGGCTTCTCACGATCCATATATACATAGGATCTTTATAGTATTGTAACTATACTACGTACATCTACGGACCGAGTACCCTAAGATCTCTCTCGGTGGCGTCTATAAGTAGATTCAGCATGATTCAGCTGTGTCTGCTGCGTTATTTGCCAAAAAGGATGCGGACCGTGCTTTTCTCCGTGCTCGGCTGGATCGTCTTTCCTACT